GCCTTCGCCGAACGCCCTCTCACAAGTATGGAGGTCCATCAACGCCGCTGCACTGGCCGAGGGCATCAAACTACAAGCGCAGTTCTTGACCAACGACATCACCAAAGCCGCAGCTGAAGAAGGGCATCCGCCAGGCCTTGTAGAGGCCATACTGGCATACCTATCCACAGCAGACAACGACAAGAACGGACCGTGGTCGTGTCTGGATCGGGAAAAGACTGTCGCATTTACTGGCAGGACACTGCTGGAAGCCAAACGCGGCGCAGACTTCCTCATCGCCGACTTCACCGACACGTGGGAGGACCGCCTGCCCGAAGTATGGCGCAAAGACGCGCAGCTCGGTGCCATCGAAGGTATCTACGACTTCCCATCCGATACAACGATAAGGGCGAAGAGCAAGGCCGCCACAACTGCAGGTGGAGACAGCTCAGTGGCAGCCATGAAGCCGTCAGCGCGCAAGTGGCACGAGAAGTTTGCCAAAACGAGAAAGAAGTGAGCATGGTCGCGTTGGTGATAGCGCAGTCACGTGATTCGGCGCGTTATCAACGCGTCTTACCGGGATCGGGAAGTGCAACTGCCGGCCGCTTGCTAATGCAAATTTCACAAGCCGCCAGTGGCTAGATGGGTAATCACTCTCCAAGCATGCAAGGCTGTGCCACGCAAAACATAGATACCCCAAACTATATCTTCACATCGTCTTCGAGTGACATTGTTGTTTTCCTCTCCAGCGTATGAAGCGTGTTCAATCTATCGCATCCATTCTCAGAGCCCCACCTCGACTTGCTCTGACATCGTTTGGAAGGCAGTATTCTACGGTCAGCCCCAGACTGCAACAATCCACACGCCCCGCAAACATGGCAACCATCTCAGGAGATGACGGTCCTACTGCCCCAGCCCCTCCTGTAGTCAATGACCCAAACTCTACCCCTGCGACGAACGAGGAAAAGCCTCTACCCAAACTCTCCGCATCCGAGTTTCGTCAGTATAACAGAATGGCGGAACACATGAACTATTTCCACGATAACTTCAGGGCGACGTGGAAAGTTCTATACGGAGCGTGTGAAGCACAGAAGAGGCCCAAGAACATGTCCATCCGCCAGTTCATTAGCATGGGCCAGCAATTCTGCCGTTAGTTTGCAACCCAGGCAACAAATATTATCTAACTAACTATCATCATATAGACCACCTCACAGTGCATCACACAATAGAAGAGCAGCACATCTTCCCCGTCTTGGCCAAGAAGATGCCCGCCTTCAAGAAGGAACTCGAGCTTCTCACCCAGCACAAGCAGATCCACAAGGGTCTTGATAAGCTAGAAAAGTACCTGGAAGAGTGCGAGGGTGGGGAGCGAGAGTTGCGTTTGGGCGAGTTGAAGGAGATCTTCGATTCGTTTGGCGAAGTTTTATGGCAGCATCTGGATGATGAGGTCAAGCAGTTGGAAGCCGAGAACATGAGGAAGTATTGGAGTTTGGATGAGATGAGGCGGATTCCTATGTAGGCCACTATGTTGGATTGCGATGGGTGGCGAGCGAGCGAAGGCGAAGGTGAAGGCACAGGGCGTTCAAGTAATGACGGCTGGATGAGTACCTGCAATCTTATGACACTTTTCTCATTGGCATGGCCAACCACGACTGCGCGATGCACTAAGATTCCAAAGAACCCTTCAAGCTCTTGCGTCCTTAGGCCTCCAGACCCCGAGACAAAACACACAACGATGCAAACGACGTTCAACAACCCATAAAACGCTCCACATACCTGAGCTAACATACTAGCGCGGCCCCTAGTTCACGCCTCGAAACGGGTGACAGCAGACCCAACGTTCCCTGAGGCAACTTCATGTTCGTTTCGCACTATTGATTTGTTTTGGATTGGGGATTCAGGTACAGGGACCGGGTTGCTGGGAGGGGAGCCGTCACACTAAATTTATTCGTGAGTCTGGGTCAGGGTCTACCGCGTGAGATGTTGCTGTTGATGTAAGGATGAAGTGACGATGTATGGCGATGAGTCTGTGGGTAGGATGGAGATGGACGTAATGTGAACGATGTGGCGCACGGGAACTGTTCATGTATCGATAGAAAGAATGCAATGACTGCTATTGTACATGCTACATGAAAAAAGCAAAAGGTCATAAAGCTTGTATAAACTTCCAATATATGCGCAAAAGCAGATGGGTATGATGAACACCAGAAAAAGCTTTTGCCGCCCAGCAGTGTATTAGTACCTTTCCCATCCCCACAAACGCCTTCGCTGTAAAAACATCGCATCAATCCGGTCCAATGCCTGACGCTCACTTCGGAAGCTGCAAACCTATCATACTTCTCTTCTTCAAACTGAGGAAACGTCTCGGGCTGCGGAATTCCCAGTCAATTCTCGGTGTCCATCCGCCCTCTCCGACGACGTCGGGTATACTAGGCGCACCGCTATCGCTTCGTTGGTGGTGTGCTGGTTCAGGCGCCTCCGGTCCATCCCCTCCTGTCGTACGGCTGAAAACGCTCCTCGTCGGGCTCTTGCTCATGCTGAAGGTTGATTCAACCGGGCTAGGGAGTTGCTGCCATGGCCCTCCCAGTCTTCGGACGATTCTTGCCTCCTCGCTCTCCCGCCATCGCTGCTTTTGCTCCGCGGTCGCAAAGGTAGCTAGTGTGCTGGTGGACTTGCTGATGAATGAGGATAGGCGTTGGGAGATGATGGAGCTGCGCGCTGATCTATCTGCCGTCTTTGGTACTGCCAGAGAGCTGCGGGCCGAGTTCCTGTTCAGGTCCATGTCTGGCGGCGCCAGGGAGCTGCGCGAAGAGTTTCCGAGATCTATCTCTATAATCCTGGGGGCAGGGAGCTCCTCGACTTTCTCGTTCTCCAACTCTTTTTCTTCGTCTTCACTGAAAGATCTGGTCGACTTGCTGTCATCTTGTACGCTATCCGAGGAAGTAGGTCGCGAGTCTTGCATTTCCACATCGCCCATCTGTGATCTAGCGTAGCTGCCAGGTCCCTTTGCGCCATTGGGGATGTGCCAGCGGAGGTCTACGCGAAGTATGGCGTACATGAGTACCGTCTGGATCTCCACGAGGAAGTTGAAAATGTAGAATGGTGCCTTGCCAAGATAGCCTGGTAGAGGTTGTGATCTCGGGACTGGTGTCTGGAAAGCAACACCACAGCGATACCATGCGCCAATAGAGAGGAGTGTGGTGCTAATCATCAGGACTATGACTTTTGTACGAAGACGGCCCATACCGAAATGATCGAGCGGCGAATAGGGAATGAGAAGCGTGAGCATCGTCATCGGCAAAGGTAGTGTAGCGACGATGGCCAGGAAGGTCGCGCCGTACTGCTGGAAGCCGCGGTCCGTCGCTCGAGTTCCTACGTTGAGAGTATAAAAGCTCTGAACTGTAGCTGTAATGACAGCGATAAGTGTCAAGCCGATCAACGCGTAAATAGCTTTGAACACGATGCCAAACGCAGGATGCCAACCCACCGACGGATGTGTCGACCTTACTAGGCGCATCGCGAAAACCAAATTGATGACGAATAGTATAAGAACACCTGCTGCGATGAAGATCTGTGCAGCAATCGCAAGTGGAATGTTGGTTGGATTCGAGACCGATGCGAGTCGCAAGATTGATGTCAATATGCGTTCCATGCAGAAGACTTCGGAATAGTTAGCATCCATGTCAGCCAGAATGTGGCTATACATACGGAAGATGAAGAGGTTTGGTAAGAACTTGTGACCTCGTGCTCTGTTCTTTTGGAATATCTTCATGTGTACTGCTGCTCCGACCATGAAGAAGAACATAAAGACAGTTTGGGCAGGAATGTCGATGCGTTTCACTGGAGGACCACCCAGAGGCCATGTCATAGGAGCATATGGTGGCGCTTGTGATGCCTTTTCAACGTCAGCGACTTTGTCTCTCTCCAAGTTCCAGACCCATCAGATAAGCCTGTGGGTGGGGTATACTTACCACAGAAGGTGGTATGCCGCCTTGTGATGCCATGGTATCGCTAGTTGCGCTTATTCGACTTTTCAGACCTGATTTGCGCCGGCGATAGGCGATGCGTGGTGATGAGAGTCGAGACTAGTCAATAGTCGGAGTACCAGGACGTCGAAGCGATACGGGGAGCTTCGCGCAGCGAGGCGCAAGCCCACCATATATGTTGCGCCGCACCATTCCAATCATCACTCCACTTGTGTCAACACGCCTGCAGAACACTTGTGCTATGTTTTGTCCATGCGTCCAAACAGTAGTGTGGTGTTTGATGTTAGTGTCTGAATCGCGAAACCGAGACACCGATCGCTATTTCGGGACTGCCGCTAGAACAACGTCAGGAACTAATACCACGTTCTGACCACGGGAGCCCTGTACATCGAATGTCAATGTTCGATGAACCCAATCTGCAGTGCCAGAGTCATCGATCTCACACAGACGTCGGTAGCTGGCTTACATGCTCGAATAAAACGACGTCACACCTCAGCTGCGGAACAGCCCGATCAGGCCAATGTTGCGACGTACCCAACGGCTTGCGACTTAAAACGTATTTCATTCATCCCGTCCATCTCTTGCTCAGGTATTCATCGAGACTGCGAACGTATGCCGTGCACCATGGTCCGCATTCATGAACATTGCTACTACTTAGGAACCGAGGCGTTTCAAGAAGCCCCACGAATGCCCGGACTGTATGCTATAGCTGACACTGCCTCTGGTGGTCTATTCCACAACGTTCCCGGCTCGCACTTTGAAGTCTTCGCAGCTTTGGAGGCCTGACGTCTGTCATCGAACGCTGTCAGGCATGCAAGAGCTGAGTCTACCGAATACCCAGGAGGTGCTCGCTGTCCCAGTACATATCACTCTGTACTCTCCAACCCCATTGCTGATCTCCAGGGTCCCCCGCCGTCTTAATCTGCGTAACATGAACCGTCGACGTCGTCAATAAGGGCTGGCAGTATTGCCATTACTCTCCGTCTCGCTTTGACCGTCCAGGTGTGTTGTACATCAAAATCGGCTAATCTTGTCTCAAGATGTGGGTACTCGGTTGAGCTGGTAGTGACCAGTCTCAGCAGTAACATCGTTGTCACGATCTTCTTCGTGAGCTTCCTCGTATAGTGTCTCATCGCCCAGTTCAGGGGCATGTCCATCATCTGTGCCGGCCTGTAGAACGTTCTGGCATCTCGTCAATGTCAGTTGTCCGAGTCCTACGTGAGTTTGGGCGTTTTCAAGTCTTGACGAAGTGTTCGCACCAACGATCATAGGTGTTTTGCCGACAACTAAAGCATTTGCGGTAGTCGTAGCCCAACCCGCCAATAAAGGTGGTGACCCAGCTCGTAGAACTAGTTCGCGCTTGATACCGGGCTTCTGTCTCTTGGTCGGATTGGCGATCCTTTGGCGGTTGACACTTTTCTTGGGAACGAGCTTTAGCTCGGAACCAACAAACCCGTCAAAAGCATCTCGAAGGTTTGGACAATATCGCTGCATGTTAGCAGGTAGTTGCGTGGGTCTCTCCAGGGGCTCTGTGCGCATTGCCATTGGTTCGGTCTTGGGACGGCCGACAGAATCTGGCGGTTGTGTTGTCTTCGGTATCAGCCTACTCTTCGTGATGATGACGCCGCCTGAAGTCTGCGTGAAGGTCAGCAGTGTCAGCGTTGACTATCGTTGACATACGGAGATGTGCAACGTATTTGTAAGACGTATTTGGCTATCTTCGATAGGGTCCACGACCGCAATGGGAGCAGCAACGTCGAGAGTAACATCCTAAAGTCAACAGCGTTAGCTGGCCGCAAGCTACCGACGATGAAACCCGTAGAAGCTCCTTACACCCGGTAGGGGTAGTCCATCCAGTGTAGTAGTCCGCAGCAAAGCGAGCTCATGTACTGGTAGACGCCGTTTCCGAGTGCTCGAAAGCCCGTTGCGAAGTCCTTGTGTGCCGCCGCTAACAGAGGCTAGACGGAGGTCTGGTGGTGATGAACGTGGGATCTCGTAAACAGATGGCGCATTCGCGAGACCAACCAAGACAGATCGATCTTCTTCGATGTTGGTATCCAGCGGCTTGTCGGTAGCTGCAGCTTCCTCACACAAGTTGGTTCCGATGACTTCTGCCTCGGCAGATGATCCTGAGGGCAAGATTGCTGGCTCCCTGCCCGGTTCCCTGATTGACACGTCGCGATGTAATCCGGAGAACGGGCCAGCGGAATCTACCACGTCCAGATCTTGGATAGGCGGTCTGAATCGTGACGGACGGTCTGGCATCCCTCTCACACACGAAAGAAAGGCGCTCAGCCGTAGACGATTGCCGACGAAATTAGCATCGTGCGCCATGTTGCCTGAGACGGCGGTTCACATGTGAGTTAGTACAAGCGAAAGGATGTGTGATCAAATTCGCATGTCGTGCACACGAAAGCTTCAGAGCATGCTGTATGCTGCAGCGAAGTCCAAGGTTGCAGTCGCGGAGACAGATGGTGGCTGCCAAGAGAGCCATGACGACGCGGGTCCCGAGGTCCATGCGCCTAACGCGTCGCGAATCTTTCAATGTTGCGAAGACAGGAGGAAGTGGCAGAGGGCAATCGCAAGCTATCATAAGAACCCACCATGTCGATACCGTCCACACCGAGATGGCCTGCAGACGAGACAGGCGTGCCAGAGATAGCCGGCAACGAGTGCTTCGGAGACCTGGTGGACAAGCTGTGCCAGTCAGTCGATGCATGTGAATGCGCAATTGTCCAGTAGCCTAACCCGAGAGTAGGTTCTTTGAGCATAAGATCAAGCTGCCACATACCTTCGAAGATTTGCGTCGATCGCAGGAGGGCCGGGCAGTCCAGCCTCTCATCGCATACCTGTCTACCCAAGTCGACCACCCTGCCCTCGTATCCGCTCTACTGTACGTCGAGGCAACCCAGGTCGCTTTTATCAATGCCAGATGGTTGCATGCCGGAGTGGAGAGCGCTGACCATATTGAAGGGCCCTGAAGGGACATTTCTCTGCCTTGGAGGAAGCCAGCGACGAGCCTGGTGTGAACGAAGCGCGAGGCTACGCATGCGAATTCGTAGCCTGGCAATTCTTGACGAACTTGAAAGAAGCCGACATCATCGAGTCTCTGCTAGTAGAACTCCCGCCGGCAACGACGCCGACCACCTCCAACCCACCGAACGGCTACCACTCGGGCGAGAACGAACGCGACACCACACATGCCGACGAGCGGTCGCCTTTGCTTCCCGTATCCAACACCGATTACTTCGGCCACGGCGACTCTCCCAGATCTCGCTTCGGATCGCTGATGTCACAATGCGAGAATCTCAGTGCATTGGAGCTTGCGACTGTATCTGGTGCGAAGAAGTTCCTGTCCCAGAGACCAGTCCAGAAAATCATAAATGGCTTGTGGAAAGGCGACATCGTATTCTGGGAGACCCTCAGTCTACACTCAGAGAAGAAGCCCAAAAAGTACAACCGAAAGCAGGCCGATCCCTTCTCCAGGCTACGCGTTCCGTTGTACTTGAAGATTTTCGAGACACTCTTTTTTGCGGCATTCTTAGGGCTGTACTACGCAGTTCTAGTGCAGCGAAACAACGCCCGAGTAACCATTCCCGAGATACTGCTCTACGTGTGGATTGCCAGCTTCGCGTACGATGAATTTTCGGATTGGTTAGACGCAGGGCAAAGCTCGTTCTATGCCTCGGACTTTTGGTAGGCATGCGTTTCTCATCGCCATTTTGATGGAGGCTAACGTCTTTAGGTGGACCTGGGACATCAGTATCGTCGTCGTGGGCTTTGTCTTCTGCATTATGAGGATTGTTGGTCTGACTACAGCCAACGCTACCACCATCGATCTTGCCTATGACGTACTCGGACTAGAGGCTCTCTTCCTCGTGCCGCGTATCTTCTCTCTCTTGAGTCTCAATCGATATTTTGGCACCCTTATTCCGTGTCTCAAAGAAATGACCAAGGATTTCATCAAATTCCTGTCACTGGTAGTCATCCTGTACCTGGGTAAGGCGTCCGACGCTTTAGTAGCTGCAGCCAATGCTCACCGATATAAAGGGTTTCTAACTACTTTCGTACTGCTGGCTAGAGATAGTAGATTCAATGCGAAGCAGATGGCAAGTTGTCTATCGGGGTCACCGACGTGCCAACTGCTGACTCGTGCAACGTAGAGTTGGATCCTGATCAAGGTCTTCTTCGGGTAATGGTTAACATCACGCCACTGTTGCTATACCAGCTAATGCCTTCTCAGCTCTAGCTACCTAGGTTTCGGTGAGTCAAGCCTCAGGCAACGGCCAAGCGAAGGCATACACCGATTCTTGTCCACCAGTACTGACGACAGCTGCCTGCAGATGTCGCCGAAGAGATGTATGCACTCCTCCGATCAACAGTGCCAATGGCTTGCTAATGCCTGCATAGCTCGCCGTTCTTCGGACCTCCTGTGATGGTACGAGTCTGACTATTTGGAATGCATCGCATCGCGGTCTGCTGATCACACACTAGCTTGTTTTCGTCACTTTGACAAACATATTGTTGATTACAAGCCTCATATCGCTTTTGAGCAACTCGTTGAGTAAGGTAATGGGTTTTTCCATTGGTCCTCACTGCTTTGCAACCTCAAGTCGCATGCATGTCTGTGCATGCCAAGCGCAAAACAACGGTTAACGCCCGACTGGACCGCCTCATCTCCATTGCAGTCTCCCCAGAGTGCATTCGCATTGGGGTTAGCACTTGACTTTTTCCGGTTGGTCTTACGGGGGTGTGATACAGCCCGATTGGGACTGCAACAGGAGATTTCTCGCAGGCACTGACTGCCCTGACCCCATGAACAACCGGCTATAGCTTATCATCTCTGGTTATATTACTTTCCAAAGGATCGATATTGACGGTGGACAGGTTCTCGATCATGCGCGAGATGAATATTTGTTCATGTACGTCGGCATGATCCAAGGCAACTTTCTTCAGGCACTGACGATGCAGCTATTCCGTATACGTGCTCGAAGCATCCAGCTCAAATCGATTGACATACTTTCTGCCTCCACTGGTAAGTATGTTGTTCAGTGCTATTATTATGGGGAGGTTAAAAGCGGGCATTAAGCGCCGGGTCGTTCAACGCCCAATCGACACAGCCTCTATGGCCATCGTGGAAGACGCGCTCAGAACCAACCAGTCAAAGCTTCGTGGCCGGCTCGTGAAGGAAGCATCGTCGGCGGATGCTCTGCCGTTGTCACGTCACTGACAAGCCTTGTTCTGGCGCTCAGGCTCTCTCGACTCAAGGCCGCTGTGAATCCCTGCGAACCCACAACGCAGTGGTATCCACAGCCGTGCTCAACTTTGCAAGGCTGACCGGCTTCCAGAATCTCATTCCGCTAGTCATTCGACCGTTGCGGCTCGTCATCCCCTCCGAGCGACTCAGGAGCGTCCGGATCGTCTTGCTCAAGGCCACGCATCTACCTCTTGTATTTGCAATCTGGGCTTACGAGCAGCTGACCGATACCCGTAATCTCGATGTGAAAGCGACATCTTTCAGCGGACCACAGACACCAACCCCACCAAAAAAGGCTCTTCGGTTGCCGGTCAACTCTCCACGCCTATTGATGGCGGAAGCACCAAACTCATTTGCGAGGAAGCCCCAGAAGCCCCAGGCACGAGCAGGGTCTACAGAAACCGATGCTCCATTGAAGGCACTAGTCCTTAAGCTTTCAACGCAAGTTGAAGAACTTACTGCGATGGTGTCGCAGCTCCAGCAGCAGCGCGAAGCGAGCACATCGGTCGCTTGATGGCCGGCGCTTGCAGCCGCGGACATATAGGTACATTTTGCTAAGGATGAGCACTGCAAATCCGGTTAAAATTCAAGTTGATCTTATCTGTCTATCCCAAGAGCTACTCAAACAAGCGCGTATGGAGTTGAGGTGTTGGTGTCTCACTTTGGTAACGGCATTGGGGTGACACATGAATGAACGATCAACGTCAGATACAGACGGGACATCCTTTGCCAGACTGGCCAGTTTCATGGGGATGCACATCGAGCAAGGGTACAACCGCCCTCTCCTCTTGCGCCTCAAAGTCCGGTCGGCGCAAGGATGCCTGTGTTCGGCCCGCTAAGGCCTAGCTACCCGGCTGTCTGGTTCACTTGCACATACCCCGGTCTCGAGCTGCATCCATCGCCCCCCTGCCACTCTTTCATAGCCCCATGAAGCTAACAGGCGCCTGCCGCGTAGGCGGCTCGAGCTTTCTGTTCATGCTGCCCTGTCTAGCATAATTTCAGAATCTGCCTAACACTCAAGAGCCCACTGTTTAACGTAGGCTCCGAGAACGCACTGGCGCAGTATACAAATCAATTCCATCTTGGAGTTAGTCACGCACTGCATCGTACAGATATAACTCGTCCCGGAACGCCCTGCAGTTGGCATCCTCATCCAGCTTCTACCACATCATTTCTATCTTTGCCTGTCTTCATTCCTCGCCAACCTACTTGACCTCAAAGACTTGTGGACTACGTTCATCCCTTTGAGATCCTTTCATCATGTACTCGTACGCGGACCAGCCCACGCCACCTTTCAACTCGCCTTACCAACAACACACATCTCAACCAGGCTCCCTGCTTGAGTCACCCTATCCTTCACCAAGACAACAAGAGCCGCGGCCCAGCTACCCACATGGTCTTGGTTTATATCCAGTCCACCCTTCAATGCCGAACACTCTCTCTCCATCGTCTCCCCCACAATCGGAAGGCTGGGTTAGCGCTCAGTATCCCAACGGCACCTCGGCAGAGGCCACTGCAGATCCCTATCTGTCAGGAGCTTTCGATCACCCAGTCCCCCATTCGCCAGTACCGTGGAGTTCCGCCCAGGACACACCTCCTACATCCCCAGACGTGTACAGTCAACGCGCGATGTCTGCTGCTTATTCGCACGATGGCTCAGAGCCGGAGTCTTACTCTAGCATCAAGTTAGAGGGCCCGGCATGGAACCCAGCAGCTCGCATCCAGTTTGGCACAGAAGTGCCAGTTACTATGGGTGGTCAGTCCTTATCAGGGCATCCACCACTCACAGTAGCTCCCGATCGGCTTAGCACACACATGTACTCCTACGAGAGTGAGTATCCATCACCAGCTATGCCTGGATACGACTCGGCGCCGGTTTACAACTACAGCAACCGTAGCCCCGTACAGGCGTCAACAGTGATCAGGACTGCCAATGCACAAGCTCGGGCTGCACGAGCTCCTCGAACTGCCGTCGCAAAACGAACACGCAACCGCAGGCACACTGATC